TTTTTGTCATTTTATTTTTACGTTATTCATATGAAATTTCCATCCTGCGAATTTCCATCGCCAACTGTTTGGTGCTCAGTCGGGAACATCGAGGTTTCCTTTCTGCAGACTCGCCGCACTCCCCACGCGCCGAAGGATTTTCTGTCAACCCTAGCCTTTCGTGCCAAGCAGGAATCTTTTTAACTCAAACCAACTTCAACGCCCTTATTTTAAAAAAGAAAATCAATAATATTGTCACACCCCGCCAAGAAAATCATTGTTGAACAATTTCTGGCAAATTCTCATGGAATATTCACGTTAATGTTTAGGGCCAATGCGGGCGGGACCCCTAAAAATTCAATTTTAAAGTTGAAACTTTGCATGGGGCTTTTCAATGGTCTATAAAGTGATTTCAGACCGGAGGGCACCAATTTTCTAAATTCGTTTTTTGATATTTGTTTTGTATGAAGCTGATTCGTCTAAATTTGACTAATAGTATCTCAAGATGATGTCGAAGCCATTCACATATTCGGTAGGGATGGATTTGTATGTGAATGTTTCTATGTGATCATTCTTTTTTTATATATATGTTTTTTTCCTTTTGGAATTGCTCGGATTGCGGACGGAAATTTTTCCTTGCAGTATGGCAATGAAAACGTCCTTACGTCATTGCCGTACTTCTCTGCTCTAACATGATTTTTTGGAGTAACTATTTCTACGAATCACCTTAACTAAATAAAGTGCCAACATTTTCAACTATCAAATTTCAAATGGACCACTAGATAAAGTACGAATTTGAGCAATCTGATACATATTTCTTAACCAGAATTTCACGTAAAACACAATTCACACAACGAAAATTACTATAACCAACTCTTAACGAAGATATTAACGTTTTTATTACCCATCGGTTACGAGGAATTTGAACTGCCCGCTCACAAGAAACTCAAAGCTCTACGTGAGTCAAATCGCGCACTAAAACGGTTTCAGAAAGCTTCTCAACCGAGCAATGTTCATTTCTCACCATGTGTTGTTCAAACTACAAGCAATTTGCCATAGCTGAGCCAAAGCGTCAAGATAGAGGTTGCCAGATTTTTATATCGCAAAAGACTGTCATGATAACGTTCAGCGAACGAAGTGAATCACGTAGATCATCGAGTTTTCATGAGCATGATGGTTTGAATTTACGCATTAGAAATCATTAAATATCTTCGTAAGGTAATAATTTCGGTAATTTTCGTTGTGCGCATCGTGCTCTACGTGAAATTTTGGTTAAGAAACGTGTATCAGAATGCAGAAATTCGTACCTTGTCTAGTGGTCCATTATCAAAATTTCCAACAATGACAAAAATGATTAAAATATACCTATAATGTAATAAAATATACACGCTCTAATCATTTAATTTGTATTACCTTTATGTTATGTACAGTCTACATGTTATACTATTTTTGTAATAAATTTTGCCAACATGCTTTTCAATTCATTCTGCAACATTTCATTCCCACGTGGTAATAATGATTTATAATGCCTATAATCCATTATAATGCATTATAATAGTAATGCCGTATTATAATGTCGTATAATACATCGCAACGATTCATGTCCTACTGATTATTGATTATTGTGAGATGAATTCCGTTTTCTCTGATTGTATGTTTCATACGTGCGAAGCACGTACGGGTCGCTAGTTCTTTAACGTAAGTGGGGATGTTAAAGCACTAAAGATAGTGATGGTAGCTTAGAAGGAAATTAGGTATGCAGTTGGGCTGATTATGATGATGTTTGTCCAACTATGAAAGTACTAACCTGGTGGATTGTCTTCGGACTCGATGCCACTAGCGCATACAACTTCTACTTCTAATTGTCCTTTTGTCATGAGCAGTCCCAACTTCAGCCGTAAATTGCCATCTACATAACATCAAAGGACATACAAATTTGAAAAAAAGTGCATGGATCCCAAAGATCAAATTTGTAAGATTTGGATTACTTAATCTGTAAGCTGAGGAAGGTCTTATCAGAACTCAATTTCCCATTCATTTGTATTACAAATGCGAAAAACGTCTGAGTTGCCAGTTAAAAGTTAGTATGAGTTGTATGCCTACACACAAAATCACACGAGAATGCTTCAATAATCCCACAAATATTAACGTTAAAGTATGAGCTATGAAAATATAGAAATTATAATAGGGTAAAAATGGTACCGCATTTTCGATCGTGGTCGTTTCCAAATTTTCTGGCGAAAAATAAAGGTGAAAAAAGTGGAGTCAGATTATTCCCAATTTCTCTGAATATCGTGAGCAATCGATTTTCAAAAAAAGAGAGCTTATTTTATTGCCTTAAGTACGAGTTGAGTTACATTTGTCATCGTAATACCATAAGTCGTAATAAAATTCTCGTTCATCCATGTTCTTACAAAAAACTATTTGAAGACTTATGATCGCTAACAGGCTGAATGCCGCAAAATCTAAAATCGAGTTAGATGTGGCATTTTATTCTAAGCACCAACGACATCATATCACATAATAGGCTAGGTGCTACCAATAATAGTTGTGCATTGAAAGGTCTGAAAGATAACGTTAGTGGTACGTCGAAAATTTTCAGAATTAAAAATATGAAAAACTTGAAATGCATTTTTCGGCATTTAGCGCGTTATTGATGATAAGTCTTCATATACAGATGTAGAATACTACAAGAATGACAGCTTAAAATCTTACCACAGAAAGCGCGGTATCCACGAGGTAAAATTTGGCCAGGCCCCAAGTTGATCAAATCCAGCTGGCTGAGGAAAAAGGTGCGCAAGAAGTAAACAATGGAAGATAAATAAATCCTACAATAATGATCCGTGTTAATATGAGCTGCTATCTAAAATTTATCAAAAAGTTGGGCTTTTAAGAGCTTCAAATATTGCAATATACTTGTTATACTCAGGGCCGGATTTACCTACTTGCCGCCCATGGGCCGCCTGCATTTTGCCGCCCCTCTCTCATTCGTTTTGAAACATAAAAAAAAAAAAAAACCATCACGTGAACGTGCCGGAGGAGGAGGGGTGCATAAGACGCGTTCACTCGTGTTGGACACATTTTTAGCGAAAGCCCTGTAAATACTACTGGCAAAAGTTCACTGAAATTTGCGCGAAAGTTCAGTTCCGTAAACCCATCTCTGTGGGGACAAGGCCTTCCAATTGTAGGAAATGAACGAAAAAATTATGAAAGAACAAACATAAATGTGATTTAATAATTTTAACTTCTCTTGTAGGCGCTAATATGTGTTACCTGCCGATGCCGACCGCCGCGCCGCTCCGAGGGCTTCTCCTTTTCATCTCAAGTCCTCCATCAAGTCCGAATTGCGTGTTTGGTTTCTCTCTTAACGTGACTAATTACACGTGAAGGTGCGTAGTCTTTGGTATCACCGAATGACGACAAAATTAGAAATTAATATACTCCCTGAAAATGAGATATTTTGTCGCCTCTTCTCGTCTGTAATTTTTTTTCTGAATCCGATTTTTATTATACTTACATTTAAAAAAAAGTGCAAAGTTTACCGCCTCCTAAATTTGCCGCCATGGGCCGCGGCCCATGTGGCCACTCCCTAAATCCGGCCCTGGTCATACTTATTCATGTATCCTTTTATTTTGGTCGTGTATATTTTTTTTTTCATCTCCATCCTTTTCATCGATACAATTAAGAATACTTACTTTCTGTCGTCGTCATCAGAATAGTCGTTCATTCTGGATGCTGTTTCACTCATTTCTGCGACACAAGAGCTTTTCCTCACTTTCCCGTCCCGTCCTCCTGAAAACAAGGATGGAAGTTACTTCCTTTTATCTTTAAAGAATTTTCGAGAATGTTTAAAGTTTGATATTCACGAGTGATAATGATTACATTTATATACTTCCAGTTACTAGATTAAAAATCCCATCCGTAAAATATTCTTAATCCATCCTATTCTTATGCACATTCCATGGCGGTTTGCAACGAACAGGTATAATGTATGTTCTTAACTGAAATTGGCCTGATCAGTTAGGCTTTCAGGCATGAGAATACGTGCAAAAATCATTGTTCATTACGAGTGGACAGCGTTTAACAGAAACCCGCCACCCATGACCCAAGTAGCGTTTTCAACGGAAAAATCGCCATATTTTGAAATTCAGTTGCGACTTTTTGGCGATAAAATAGCTGTATCATCAGCATATAAGCGATTATCCTCGATCTTGTCGCAATATTATCTCTGTACAATCGCGTTCGATAAAATCGAAATTTTTTTACAGAAATAGGGGACAGTAGCGCGGATTTTACCATGATATTTAAGTACATTGACTCAAGATACTTCAAACCTCATTGACACTGACAGAAAAGAAATTGTATCTTAATGCGGAAAAGTTCGTTGTAATATTACATTATTGAAACACTATATCTTCATGAAAAAAAATAAACAAAATTAGAGGATTTTTTTTGAAAGAAAACAGAGGGAGAGGGGACGAATTTCTTAATTTTTTTGGTTCTTTTATAAAAAGGCATCGAACATTTCTTGATCGTTATAAGTCCATTTTAAAAATTATAATTTGAACTTTAAATCGCTGAAAAGATAAAGAAAAGAGGATGTGTAGATTAAAATAAAAGGAGACCGAACTTTTTTCAAGGCTTCACTGTCAAGAGAGGGGAAGGGGACGGTAACTCATGCTGACACAAATGAAGACACCAGTCAAATAGATTAACCAGCAAGACGGATGGAAGTAACAAACAAGTTTATAATTTTTATTTGCTCGGCTTTAAAGGTCAGGTTTTCAAAAGAAAATTTCTAGCGAGACGACAACTCAGAAGTTTAAAAAAAAATTGTTTTCTTTTTTATATGAAATTCTATATTTTAATTTTAAAGGTTTTTCAATAGCAAATTGTCGATGTGAAAAGTCTGAAAATGTTCATTTTACACCCCTGAGTTTGTTGTCATGTTAATATTACACCCCTAAGTTTGCAGACACCTTGTAATGTTCTTTTGGGTGATAATTACAAAAAACGGAGGACTTATTTGATGAAAATCACTGTTTAAATTGTTCTCTTCGCCCCTTTTTCTACGGGGTAGATTTATTTTTTGTGCTATACGGAGGATAGATGATTCTCAACTGGTATCTTCAAATATTATGCACATTAATTGAAAATTTAGTGAAAAGGGTGTCAGGGTCGGATCGGAGATTTTCAAGAGAACGATGCAAAAGAGGTAAATATAGTGCCACTTTTTCAAACGAAAAAATTTACGAAACAATTGGAGAATCATTCCCGATTAACACGCAACTTTCACTCACCAGACAAAATATTCAATGCTTTAATCTGATCCGATCCTGATGAATGGGTACAAAGAGATAACATATACAAACCAGGAAAAAATACATTTAGTTATGAGGTTAAAAAATGCACCTAACCAAAAATCTAGCACATTAATTTTCAGCGGGTGAACAAAAGGTTTTAAATGACAATTAATAAAGGAGCGATAGGAAATTGTGAAGCCTTGATAACGGTAAAATTTGAAAGACAGTGAGAGATTTGTTCACGACGAATCACAGATTGAATACTGCCTTAATCTCTTGGGAAGACGGTTCACTAAATTATTTCAGTATTCTAAAAGCATGATTTTGAAGGCAAGGTGTTTCTACTTATGAAATATCCTGGATGAATTATGCTCATAATTCACGTCAAAACTGGGGTTTCGTCTTGAAATTCCAGGTAAATTAATGTAAGCGTAAGGAAATTATTAGATTTTAGGGAAAACTATTTCAGCAGAGGCCTTCAGATTCCGTTCAGCTGGCAATATTGAGGCACGAAATGAGACAAAAGAAGAGATACAGGTGGTTACATTTATTGGGCATTGCCGTGATGGACTCCTCTTTTTTACCTGCCACCGCGTACAATTAGTTTTATACGGTAAATTATTAAAACTAACGATTCAAAAAAACGTTTCAAACAAAATTTTAAAACACATCTAGATCTTTAAAGTGAAAACAGACATCATGGTCTTGCACGTGTTTCTTCTTTTGATTTTGCAAGTTGTTATGTAACGATTCAATTTGAAGTGTTTAAAGTCTTGTTTCAAAACTGAACGTCCTGAAGAAACTACAAATCATTTCTGAGCAGTGGCGCGGCGCACTTGCGAAATACCTATTGATTGATCTGCCATTTAAATCTATGGAAAAGAATCGATAAACAGGGTGTTCGCAAGGAACACCTCAATAGTCGATTCTTCAGCATAGCTTAAAATGGGGGAAATATCAATTATCGATCATTCACGCCGCGCCACTGTTTCTTAATTTATACGGACACAAGAGGGCGGGGGAAAACAGAGAGATGAGCAAAAAGCAAGGATGAAAGCAGACACCAAACTCATCATGATAATTAAGACGGTAATTTTGTTTGAGGCAGAAAAACCCGTAAAAAGTAAAGGGAAAAAGGAAAGAGAAAGAAAACAGAGGAAGCAGATAGAGGACGGCATTTCGCAGTTGTTTTAGTTGGAAGGGTTGAAAGTCTCTGATCGAAAAATAGAAATTAAGAAAATATATCTTCTTAGATAAAGGACGAACAGATGTTCATATTTCGGAATTCCCATCAGGAACTCTAGCGTAACTCTAGCGTGCATGCGTAACATGCACTTCAAAGTCAATAATTTGCTTTTTTGATCTTTGATCTTTTTTGCTTTTTCAAATAAACACCCCTCGTGGAAAGCAAACTTGGAAAAAAATCGTTTTCTCTCATTCCTGGTTTTTGAGTTACTGATAGATTTTGGACATACATAAATGTAAATTCTACGTCAACACGAGATGAACGTGAGAGATACAGAAGACAATTGTTTCAACTGAATTTCAACTTAGCGGACAGTTCACAATCATTTGCAGATTTTTCCCTAATCGCTTAAGTACGGACGCGAGTTCCGAGTCACCGTAATATTCTGATGTCACCAGACGAACGGCACTAATAGTATCATCGTTTTTTGGGGGCCTCTTTTCCCCGCTAATTAATCAAATCTACGGCAAAATCGAGTTGACGAAGTTGGTCGAATTCGTTGTGATGGATCTCTGGATTAATCTTCTTTTCTAACTTAGAATTAACGTTCATGGTCCCGGACATTTACTTTCCAACCAAAAATCAGAAAGAGCGAAAACGGGGGCTCATTGATATTCTCGAGTTAAAATAATAAATATTTTCATGGTTTTCTCCTACCCCATGGTTTTCAAGGACGATGGACGTGAAAGTATGTTTGTATCTTCACAGTTGTACAACTGTTTGCAGTTCAAGAAAACAAGAGAGTAAGACAAACCATGCGAGAAAATTTTCTGATACAATACTTGCGAGGCGAAGAAATTTATGCTCTTTAATAGTTGGCAACAGTATGCAGTATGATAGTAAAATTTAATGACGCCTCCTAGGATTTGAATTTTAATTCTTGTCTCAGGACTGGGGGTTGCGGGGGTGTTTTTAGACTACCTTCAATGGATTTCTGTTTTGTACCTTCCACAAAAAATTCCTGATTCTACCCTTGCTTATGCACACACGAGTTCAACCAACTTCGTCTGCCAATTATGCCTTTTGATACGCTGCGTTCAGGTTCTCCGTCCCAAACAGTTATTCCCGTGTTCTGTCTTAATACCATGCTGAATCTTTTGCGCCAGTGTTGACAGTGAAAGCAAAAGATTGTTTTGTAACTGCCAACCTTACCTTTACACTTAGGGCTACTTTTTCTGAGCTGTAAATGCTGCAATACAGAGAGAGAAAGAGGGAAGGTAGAGCAAAATCAAACTTGTATCAGACAGTAAGATAAAGCGTGCTTGCAGAGAAAAGAAAAATGCAGCACGGATTTTACGTAGATACTTAGTTCAGTACACATCGATATGAATGAAGTGCTGGGGGAGTGACAACCCACAACGAAAACGCGGCGAAAATAAAGCAAGGAGTCAGAACGACAATAATAACCCTTTGGAAAAATTTGGGTCAAAATAATTCTAGTTTCATTTGATAGTAGTATATTAATATTAGTGACTTAGTATTAACATACATAATTAATTGACATATACGGATAGAAAACTCAACAAAAAATATGTTCTCCAGAAATTTGGTACATCCCATGCCTTAATATTACAATGTTCATGAAGATTTATCTGGAGATTTTTTAAGGAATTTTCCGGAGAAAATATTTAATATTTAACTGCGGGCGCGTGCTTAGGAATGAACTACAAAATCCGTCTGACAGGACTTCTAATCAACCTTTTCCATTCCTGTATCCTGTATGAGAGAGGCAGGCGATTGTGCGCTTCGATTTGTGGTTACCCTGAAAGGAAGGGATTCACTGGAGTCTTATCATTCCGAATAACCCTCTCAGCCTTTAAAGTAAGATAAAAAGAAAAATTAAGACAAGAGAGTTAAATACGTGACTTGAAGGTAAAATACAATTACTCACGCCTGTAGGGTCGCTTATCGCCACCACATATGCTCATGCTGCGGCCCAACAGTTCACCTTTTACAGCTTTCAAATTTCGTAAAATTTCGTCAGGGTCTTGCCTTGGAGTGCAAGAGCTTCGTCGTCTGCTTTTGCTCACGTAACTTGAGGGTGGCAGATCGTTTTCTGCTAAAAAAATAAACCAAATCGAAGTGTAATTTTCAAGTGTAACCTCGAGGTGTAAAAGTGTAAAGATTGTGTTGATAATTTTCACTAGCTTCTGATCAACCAGTCTCGTGTAAAAGTGAAACTGTTCATTTGAATTTAAAATGTAAAAAAATACTTTAGGAAAGTTACTTTACGTTACTGTCACTCAAAGTTTGGGATATCTATAATTTGGCTCCGTTAAGCTCATGTGATCCGAGTGTCAACGCACACAAAGGTCTTGAGGCAAAACAAAATGCTACAAAAAAATGTACTAAAAAACGGGTTGCATGGGGTGAATTTATAGTGCGCGTGGACTTAAAATAGCAAAAAACAGAATCTTGGCCGATCCTATTTTCGAGATATCGCAATTCGAAATGTTCATGGTGAATGCAAGTTTTCTACTGATTTTGATCAGGTTTTTTATTTATTTGTCCATTCAATCGGTGTCGATCGGTTCACATAGATTGATTCGCAGTTTTATTCTTTGTCCGATTCGTGTCGATCGAATACCTACATACCCTCTCGTTGGATGCAAACTTCCTATCATACTATTTTCTTTAACCGAACAAATCGCCTTCTAATGCGTCTAACGCAATTGATGTTACGAATATGTTGTGCGTGCTGATTTCAGTTCATTACATACTTAGTTCTCTGAAGGCGTTTTATGTGCGAAAACAATTCGCCTTCAGTTGCGTCTAACGCAATTGTTGTTACGAATATGTTGTGCGTGCTAATTTTAGTTCATTACATACTCGACTTTCTGAAGGCCTTTTATGTGTGCAGGTAGCGCAATATATTGGAGAACGAACGAAGTAGGGATTTAGCGATTCACTTAATATTATTTCTGTTCTTCTCCAACAGATTGCACTACATGCGCACATGAAACGCCTTCAGAGAGTCGAGTATGTAATGCGCTAAAATCAGCACGCACAGCATATTCGTAACAACAATTGCGGCAGACGCATCAGAAGGCGATTTGTTAAGTATAAGAAAATAGAGTGGTAGGAAGTCTGCATGCAACGAGAGGGTATGTACTCGATCGACTTGAATCGAACGAAAAATCAAAACGTGAATTGATCGACGTGAACCGATCGACACCAAGTCAATGGACAAATAAATATAAAACCGGATCAAAATCAGTAGAAAACTTTCATTCACTATGAACATTTCGAAATGCTTCTTTGTCTGGAAAACGACGAATTATACTCTAAAAATAAAATCATAAGAGTAACGCATAATGCATAACCATGCTGCCGTGTTATGTGAGCATTCCGCAAAAGCCATCAGGCGTTGCCAAATTTCCTTCGAGAAATCAAGAACTTTTGGGAAAATTTGTGAATATTTCTCTGCCAACTTTTCAGAGGATTTAGTTCGTATTGTGATCTAAAGCGTCCGAAAATTTCAAAGACAAATATTCAGAACTGTCTTCAAAAGGAATTTTGGCAACATTTGAAAGCTCATGCAGCGTTTTTACTTAGCACGGTAGCGAAGCCCTCTAATTTCAAGATATTCAATTAGTTTAAAGAAAAAGGTCCGAGTATAATCAAGAAAGTGTCACAAACCCTGCCACAGAGAAAAATGTATGGCGTTATAAACCAATTAATGGTTCATATGAAACACCACTAATGGTCGTAAATGAACTGATGATTCTCGGTCTGTGAACCATACTAAGGTATATCTTACCATACTAATGCCGGAATCACACACTGAATTTGGCAGCTGAACATGGAAGTCAATGGAAGGGCTGGAATTTCGCAAATTCGAGTTATTTTCATCCAAAATATCAAATCTATTTGAATAGTTCAGAAGATTCCGACATTATCCGATGGTCGCTAAGCCTCGTTGCTGAATTTTGCGCTACACGCGCAAAATTCAGGCATCGGGCCGAAGACTTCCACATTCACGCTACGTTCAGCTCCCACATTCAGCGTGTGATTCCGGCATAAGGTGTATATACCATCACTAAGGTATGTGCTATTTGTTGCCTTTAATACTATTTGTGGTGTTCCATATGAACCACTAATTGGTTTATGAGCCATAGTTTTTTCTCAGTGTGCGCACTGTACACACTTTAAAAAATCAGTTGGTGCGTATATAATGGTTACCTTTTTCTTGGGCGGATTGGAAGGAGCTCCTTCGGGAGCCGGGGAGAGACCTAGAGAAGTCTTTGTTGAGCTGGTAAGTCTCCACCTCGAGCTGCTCCGATTGGCTGGAGCCGCGCCGCGAGTTGCCCGCGTAGGCGTGGTCCGGGTGCAGGAAACTATAGCCGTCCCCGAGATCCTCACTGTCTCGATCCTCTGTCAAATCCAACAAAAACAATCATTATATTCTTCATGTAAGGCCTTCTACAAAGTTATATTTTCAAGAGCCTCTTTACGAGAGAAACGTCTGTAATCGAGTTTTAGCGAGTGGTTGTTATGCTCAAAAATCGCCTTCATAAAATAGGGTATACGATTTAGCTACATGGAAGTTAAAATGGTTTGTTGAGTTGTATGTATTGATACCAGGGGTAAAAATCCCCTTCAAAAAGTTGTATATGCAATTTACATAACTTTTGGAAGACTTCAAAATGTTGATCACAGATTATATCGACGGTATAACCACGTATCTCGGTATGTGACGTTGCAGACCTCCTGTCATACTTTATTTTTTAAATGGAAAACTACTTGATGAAAGTTCTTAAAAACTGCCGTGATTTTTCTTCTATACGAAAAAAATCCTACAGGAACTTCAAGGAAATATGTCAATTTGTACTCTTTTATTAAAAAAAAAAAAAAACCAGGAGCGAAGATTTTCAAACACCGCAAACGAGTTACTTGGTTACGGACTTACACCGTCGATATACAATTTGACCGCATGAAAGTTAAAATATTTGCTCTAATTGTGCGTAAGAAGTCACCAGTAGCAGTGTAAAGTAAAAATCACCCTCAAAGAGTTGTAAATCGACGCTGAGACTTCCAAATCACGCATCGCGGTCTGCAACGTTGCAAACTTCCTGTCCTATTTTGGGTATTATGAAAAACGAAACAACGTAAAACCTTCAAAGCTTCCGAAATTTCCCTTTTCCGAGCGAGGAAAATTTGGTGAAAACTTTAAGGAGTTAGGTTGCAATGTTCTCTTTCAAAAAAATGAAAATGGGTTAGGACGTTTTGAAATACTACAAACGAAATGCGTGGTTTAGGATTTTCACCGTCGATATGCACTTTGCCGGCATGCATGTTAAAATAGTGGCGCTCGAGTTGTTGCAGCCATTGCTGCCTCACGTGAAAACGCCTTCAAAAAGTTGTGTATGCAGTTTGGCTACATAGAAGTTAGAATAGTTGCTCGAGTTACGGTTCTCGCTCTTTATGTGTCAACCAGGTTCGCGCTAAGCAGAAAGGAACCGAGCCACTTTAGCTATTGCAAAATTTAGGAGCAATTTAATTTTTTACATGAAAACGGTTGTGCGGATATTTGTGCAAATTTCAGTGAATTCTCTGCATGGTCCGCACAAACATTCTCTTGTAAAAAATTAAATTTCCCGGTTAAAGTTGGCAAACGCTGACGTATGGTTGGTTCCTTCCTGCTAAATGCGGTCCAAATCTGTCTCCGCTTTACTGTGCTTTCTCTCGTCATCATTTAACATTTCTTGGCAAAATAAGAGAATTAGGCGGATATATCTAGCCTTAAAATTATTGATATAAGTAAAAATGAAAACCACCTAAGTACAGTTCAACACGGAAAATTGAGGACAAACCTGATATCGATCTATTGTTTCTATTGATCAGTCTTTGGGTGACTTCGGAAACGAGGGATCCCCTCGGCGAACGGCCACTCCTGATTTGCCTGGGATCTTCCAGACGATACCAGACAGGTCTGTCGTCCAGAAGGGCTTTCTGGAGATCTACAGTGCATTCGCCTGTTCACAATTCAAAATAAGATAATTGAATCAAAGAGAACTCACCGACTCGGAAAAATGAAAAGAATCAAGACACACACTAAAGAAGAAAAGATGCTAATATAAAAAGAAAAGTCACCCACATCAAGCAGAAATCCGCTTTCACTCAGCGATTTTATCTTGATTAAGAATAAAATTTTCGACGGCGCACTTAGGAATGTTTCTGCCTAAATTGAGTCTTTTTTTTCTAGGGAAATTCGAAAATTATGCTAAACGTTATTAAATACGGATGCTAGGACTTGGCGAGTTTTCAGACTAATTTTTTATGTCGTAGTATCTCGATTTATTCTGCGAGGAAAGCTCCGCACTTTTAAAGGATGCCTGTCATTCTTAATATGTTGGAACGCCTTCAATTTCGTATGATACTGTGCAATACCTCTGGTGTGAAATAGTTGCTTGAGGCGCCGCGCCGAGGCACGCTGCGACGCGGCGAGCGGCCGGCTAGCGCGGAACGCGCATTGGCGCCTTCAAACCTAACATGGATACTTCACGCATTGCGCAATGCGTGAAGTATCCCTGTTAGGTTTGTAGGCGCCAGCGCGCTTGCCGCGCCGCAGCACGCCGCTCTCTCTGTGTCAGGCTCTAATATTTAAACTCGTGGAGTTAGCGTTTTTCAACTCATGATTTTGAAATGATCGCACACTCTGCATGAATTATTCTCATTTATATTGATGAAAAAAAAAGAAAAAAAAAGAAAAAAGAAAAAAAAGAAAAACAAGAAGAAAAAAAAATGTATTTGAGGGAAATATAACGAGTGTTTTGTAAATGTTGAGGTGGCTCCGTGTCAAATTTAATGATTTCCAAAGCACTTTAATTTTGTATTTTATACTTAGTGCTTTTACTCTACTGCAGCGTGGTGTACGCGCAACCAAATGGTCAAAATTGGACGTATTTGACTTTAAACGATCGATGTACAAGTAGGTTAAAACCAAATATTACGTGCTCCTCGGTTTGCTCTCTCTTTTATTCATTTTTGTACAGTTTCTTTCAACGCATTTACGGGTGCCATCGCTTTGAAATGCTTTTACAAATATTTAAAATAATAACCAGTGAACGGATCAAGACTACTCAGTTTCTAATCAAAATACCCTCAATGATTGGAACCAGGGGATTTGCGTGACTGTGTCCGTCCCTAGAAAAATTGAAAATTAATAAACTTATAAATGACTTTTTCCTCATTGAAGGCACATGAAGATACCCTAGCGCCATGAGTCCCTCCCATAAGAAGTTCCTAGTTCTAGCTGTGGAGTCTCTAAAGGCATGTCGACTGGATAATACGAGAAAAATATGTTAATCACCTAAGAATACTTGTTCCTTGTCCGGGCGATGATCCCATAAGGTGACCTCGACCATTTTGTCCATGAGTTGTTCACCAGTGACATTGGACAGTTCAAGTGTCGTATTCCAAATCGGATTTTGGGACGGCTCCGCTACTTCAGTCTTCACTGCGTTTTGCTCACCTCTGTTCACGAAAAAAACACGAACAATGAATTCATGAAAACACTAAACATAGGGCCGATTGTTGGAATTGCTAGACAAAGCAATGGACAAAGAAGACAACAGGAATATGGAGGAATCCTATCAACGAAGTGATTTATTTATTTTATGTTCTATGCAATTCGTGCACGGAAGCCTTTTTGGACAGTGTCACAAGTGAAAGATTAGAGGCTGGCAAACAGCTATTCAGTCTCTGAGGAGACGTTATTTAAATCCTCCAACAGATTATAAGAAGAGTAGAAGGCTTTAGAAAGCAGAAACTTGTGGAGGCAATTTAGGGGCATAGATAATTTCCTTATCAAAAGATTTGCATCAGAACTTGCACCAGATTTGCATCAAAAACAAAAAATGGATAATTTAGATTTCAGCTGAGCCTCTGTACCGTGCTAAAAATGAATTATGAGTTTTCAAGTGAAGTTCTTTATATTTATTTCAATGACGAACAAAGATATCTTTAATAGTGAAACTCACGTTATGGGCAATACCCGTAGTTGAACATAGGCTTCAGGCGCTGATCCGAAATTGCCCTCCTCTCTGGGCGCCAGATCATCGGCTGCGAGGATGGAGACAACCAGCTCGTTTTTCTCGTCGTGGTACCACACCTGCAGCTGGATGCGCCCGCTCACTTGTTTTTCCTTGGCCAGTTGTTCCTGAGTGCCAAACATCCAATCAACCTTATTTTTGTCCTTACCCAACGAGGATGTTATACGGGAAACGTTCTGATTGGAACCAGGAGGGTCCATTTTTATACATCCCGGAATGTTTTGCTTCACCTTGGAAGGACGCATTTATGAGAAATATGTCTATCTGCGTTGATAGTTTTAAGTGACGGCCACCTAACTGGACCACATTTTGCAATAAGGAACCACTATTTGCCACCACTAGCTCATTTTTGAAACAACATGTATGCCACTGGTTTCCCTATGGAGAAAGGTACTTATATGGAAGAGCCAGAGATAGTGGTTCCTTATTCTAAAATGTAATCCAATTGATATTATGTTCCATGTGACCTCCTAAACACTTCAGAGGGCCAAAAATTTGAATTGCAAAATGTAATCCAACTTTGATTGGTTTGGTTTTAGAATTAGAGTTGTAAAGCTGTAAGTTTCGCATGAATTGAGATAAAAAACCTCGGTTATACGGATCGAAAGGTTCAGAAGGCGCTATATCGTCCAGAAAACTGAGCTACCACTCGCGTGAACCATACTGTTTACTCATGAATGGGTCCATATTTGAAGTATTTAGATGAAAAAGTTGTAAAATTATGTTTTAATTTACAGATTTCCTATAAAATTTAATTTTTTGTTTGATGAGAAATTATTCTTATCGCACTCCTGCAAATAGCATGTGATTTATAATTTTCCTTCTAAGAATATTCTCTGAGTATGTAAGTACAGGAAAGAGCATTTAAGACATTATAATCAAACGCTTCTTTCTGTCGCCAAGTCATCGAAGTTTATTTACTGAAGTATAGCTTTGAGCTAAACATACTATTGCAGTGCTTTAAATCTTCAGTTGTATGGAAATATGTTATTTATCGGGTCAGATGCGGCTTTTCTGACGCGTAACTTTCTCGAGGTCCTTTCTTCTAAGTTTTTAGACGTTGAAAAGTAAATAATGCCATTCAAAAATCTTTTTCAAATCTTTTTCTTTTTCGTCCTTCGACTTTGGTTGGAAAGGAGCGATACAATTTGTTCCAAAAATATTCATATTAAAAATGAAACAAACATTTATCCTTTGCTAGGGAAATGTTTTGGATGAATCTTGACTTTAAAATATCTTGAAAAGTTATTCATTCATGGCATTACTTCATCTTTGAAAGGCAGATAAAATCTTAGCTCGCCTTCAAACAGTTTCTTATGACTTAGAAATATCGACAGAGACTCTTGAGTAATGATTATCATCAATAGTCTATTATCTTGGTTAAGGAGAGAATTAGAGGACACATTTTAGAGAAGGGCATTAATCCAGAATAAACGGACACATGAGATTGCTACTCTGGAAGGAATTTGATGATAGATATACTGTGAATCAATAACATTCCGAAGGCAGGTAGGTACTGTTGCAAGAAAAATACACCCAAAGTCTGCGAATATGGATGTTTTGTAATTAATTTCCCGTCACTTTCATAATTTTGTTCCATATTGAATTTTGCGCAAAATTTAGTGACATTTTTCATCCTTCTTTTGAAGAGAAGCGTACTTTAATTGAATAAGATTTCAAAGTATTTCATTTACTTGATGAAACTGTCATTATTTTAAAAATTAAAACGAAGCCTTCAGTTTTTATTAACTGCCTATTTTGAGCGTGCATCAAAATATTTTATATTTTATTTTTCATATTTAGTGACGCAGGATCTCTCTAAATTTTGTGCTTCTTGCAAAAAAAAAGGCTTCCAGCGGGGTCTCTGGAAAAACTGAGTCCTTGTTCAGGGGCGGACTGGCTCAAAATTTTTCTGGGAACAGGTTTCACCTAAAAAAAGACTGAGGGCGCCTCTTGATAACGGACAGGACTAGAACGAGGACAGGTTTTAGAGCGCCTAATGAGGCCTCCAAATTTTACAAGAAGGGGCCTTTCTGAGGTGAATTTTAATGGCGTGTAGAAAAGATCGCTCCCCAGCTCCCATCCCTCCGGACGGAGAAAAAAACTTCGTACATGGGACCCGAAGTTGAGGTCATATGGATCTCTGAAGTTTTCTAATCACGAATCCAAAAACTTGAGGTCGAGCTGCCGAAGTTCGGGTCAGACATCGAGGCACTTCGGTATGTAACGGAGTACTTTAGATGTGCGACCCGAACCCTTCGATATACATCGAAGTGCTTCAGATGTCTGACCCGAACTTCGGCAGCTCGACCTCAAGTTTTTAAATATGTGATCCGAAAACTTCAGAGATCCATATGACTTCAACTTTGGGTCCCACGCACGAAGTTTTTTTCTCCGTGCGGTACAGCCCGTCCCTGTTTTTCTTGCCAAAAGAATAAAAGAAATGATAGGTTTAACCATATTTTTGGCACAAAACAAGACATGTTGTTTTTGCCCTTCTTTTTAATAAAGATAACTTAGCAATTCACAGACTTTACGAGTAGTATTCAATCATACGTCATGCCTGCGGCACCAAAGTCAGTTGCAGAAAGTCCACGCCAAATAAGTTCCCACCCTTCTATCGTAGACTGCGACAGAAGATCCGCCTCCTTAAATCTTGCATTTACTTCCAGTGCTTAACTGACATCAGACGATTTTCTTTTTGCAATCTAAAAGTGTGTAAACTTATTTGGCGTGGCCTGTAAGCATAGTTAAATCTATCATCCCCCCCCCTTGTAATTCCTTGTAAGTTTCGTTTTAAATTTTTATTTATAAAACCGCTTCACTAGAAATCATGGAGATTACCCTTGACAATTTTTATTATACGGGGTTTCAAATTATGTAGATTTCGATTACACCATTTTGATTGTTCTGAAAAAGTTGCATGTAGGAGAATCGGTTATAATGCCCTATATTTAGTAAAAAAAGTTGATAAATTATATTATAGGACGTACTTTTTCCTTCAGTTTACAAATATGCATTACCGTGGTTAATTTGGCACAACCAGTTTTATGTGTTTCTGCTTTCTTGTGGTTAAGTTTCACGGGATGCACACGCGACATTGTGCGCACGGGAGTCTATCCTACACCGAGCAAGTCAATACTCAACAGCCAAAGTCGGAAAATGCGTACCTCTATGGCTACGTTTCAAAATCTCTGATTATTATTTCAATTATTTATGATAAAACTGACCAAAACTCTCCTTTTTTGCTAAGAATATGTTTAAATGAAGGCTTTAAATTCACAGAAAATTTCAAGAAAAACTGTCGGTCAATTTTCTTTTAAAAATAAAGCATGAGTGAAGATTTGCAACGTCGTAATCGAAGATACGGATTTTCCTTCTTTAGCCATCGATGAACATCGTTTTCTAGGGTATAAGTATATTTAATTATTGTCCTACACTATGACTCGTTCACCGTGTTTATAGAAACGTCAATCGTAACATACGCCGGTACTGAATGCAGAATGTATACACTGTCCTAATGCAACAGTACCTAACAATGGCCCTCATGACAAATAACGTTTATGCTGAAGAGATAACGAAACATGAACATGCAGAGAGAAGAGGATAGAACTAACATCGAACATGCAGAAAAGAAGATGGAGGAATATTTCAAACAGAGGGTTGCTCTGACGGTAAAACATGGTACCTTCGACTTGAGTTATAGCCCATGCGATCCGTCGTCTTTATGACTTCGCATAGATATTTCGCCTCCGATTTCCGAAGTAGACCAGGAAGACATCTCCGTGCAACGATAGTAATCTATGATAGGACTTGCGTCATGCGCTCTCAATAAATTATTTAAAATCCCATTTTACGATTTTGTACTATTTTTCTATTCAACCACCTTGATTAATACTAAATGAACGTGTCTTTACTAAAAGGAACGAAGTGCGTAAGGTTTGCACGTAGCATAATTCCTTTCAGCGGATAAATAGTCCATCCAAGTAGCTATTAATGCACTCCAAAATTTCTTCAGGCAAGCAGAGCTTCCTTAGCGTAAATGCAGAAAATTCCGTTGCGATTCAACAACTTAAGCGCCTCAAAAATTCGGCAATCTTCAAATAAGAATCCAATTTTGCAGCGAGCTTGTTGACTAGTAAACGGGCACAACAGGTGAGGAACAGGAGAGAATGGAGCGAATCGACCGGCTAAAAGCTGAAGGTAACGGCAGATTTTGTTTGTTATGCAAACAAGTCGCTTGTTACGCCGTGCCTCCTATGCAAAACTTGTTGCGCAGAGGAAAGACGCAAAAATAAACACCGAACAAGTCGAGAATTCGGGCGCTTCCACGCGTACTGTCGCGCTGAGGAAGAACGCCGTATGAGCCATCAGACGTTGCTAAATTCCTTTCGACAAATTACAGCTTTTCAGGAAAATTTGTGACAGTCTGACTTCCAATTTTCCAGAAGATTTTGTTAGTAAATTGATCTATAGAGTCTGAAAATTTCAAAGAAAAATATTCATAACTTTCCTCTATAATGAATATTTTCTGAGAGGAAACTTGGCAGCATTCGAACGCTCATACGGCGTTTTTACGTAGCACGGCAGTGTAAGAGTCCGTGAATACCTGGATACGAAGGAACACGGGGTCCAGCTCTCGCGGGAAAATTCATGATTCAACATTCATTCTCACGGAGAAATGCGGAGATTTCCTGCGGATAGGCAACATTGTTGCGGAGAAAGAGAGGAGAGAAGAGGCAGTTTTTTTCGCCGAAGAGCGGTGACTTGCGTTTTGCGGATTTACCTCGCAACTTTATGAAGCTACTCTCTGCAGAACACAATGGTTACAAGCAAGGAAGACTAATTGGGCGGATTTAAACGAAATCAGCCTTAATACATCTCACGGTGCCAAAGATCCTCTCGTGTTACATTATTTTACATGAAAACCACGCAAGGCAATGCTTTGAACTGTTCGTAAATCTCTCTTGGGTTATATCAAATATATCATCGGCTAATGTCAACTAACAGCCAGATTGATAATTGAACTTCAATTTTACAATTAGAAACTACAATGGAGACTTTGCAATTTTTTGCAAATTTTTTATTACTTCATCTGAAGGCGCCT